GAGAGAGAGAGAGAGAGAGAGAGAGAGAGAGAGAGAGATGGGAGAAAAGATTATTACCAATTACCTCGTGAGTTGTTTTTGGAAGGTGAGAAGTTTTCCATAGATTAAGCTAATTATTGATTAAATATGTATATTATATTATAGCTATATGAGATTTCTGGTAATTATGCAAATAAAAACAATATATAGATCTTGCTATATTGCCAATATTTACAAATTGGTTCCGTTTATGTAATAAAATAAGAAAGTCTTGTATAGGGTGTAATTTTCTCAATCTTATTGTGAATTGCTATTTACCCGCCCCTATTACTACCTACCGCCCCCTTTGGACTAAAATACCCTTCTCATATCTCTCTCTCTCTCTCTCTCTCTCTCTCTCTCTCTCTCTCGCCCGCCGCCCGCCGCCCGTCGCCTCGCCGCCCCACAAATCAATGCCCCAAAAAACAAAAAATCGTAATCACGGCTGAGGCAGATTTCTGTTATGTTTGTTTGGTTTTTCTTTTCGATTAATAAAAAAATTTGTAATATTTTTTAAATTTTCAGCAGGAAGCCGAGGTTGCGGCCGACAACGGATCGCGGTTGGCGCATGCGCGGCCGGTTTTCGCTTGCGGCTGCACCGTAGCCGGCCGATATTGCTCGTCGACCGAACCCTAGGCGGCCGGCTCGCAGGACGACCGCACCCTATGCAGCATGCGACCGCCACCGCTGGCCGACCACGTGCTCTGCGGCCGGCGAGCCTGATTGATTTTTTTTTTATTAATTGAAATTATTTAAATATTTAAAATTGAATTGAATTGATTTTTTGATTTAGGTTAATTTAGATAAATTTTGGTTTAGTAGTTATTAATAATATGTTACTTATAAATAAGATATTATATATATGAGTTAAATGCAATTATATTAAAATAATGATAATAATACTAGTTATTAATAGAATAATGCATCTCACTTTAGTATTTTTAGGAAACGAATTAGTTGCAATATATGTAATGAAATTGTTTATTGAGTAATTATTAGTTTAAAAAATTATAATTAATATTCTAATATAAGTTGAAAAAATTGTATAATTTTTTAGTTAATTAGTTTGTATAATTATGTAATGAAAAATTTGAATTATATTAATAACGTGGCTACCACTAATTATTATATTGATTTTTTTAAACTTTTTAGAAAAATAATTACTTGTAACATTTAATAATGTATTTTAGGAAATAGTAATAATTAATAATTTTAATCATGATTTGTTTGCGTAAATATTAGTAATAAATAGTTAATTGTAATTATTTTATAATAATTAAAACAATATCTGAATTTAAAAAATATTGTTTACTAATTATTAGTTTAAATTATTGATTTAGACTGGTGATAGACCTGCTCGACCGGCCATTGATAGAGAGGCTACCGAGTTTTATGATTCTGGACCTCGACACAAGAAGAGTCAGAATGTAGATGATTTTGCTCGTCGGGCGAGAGAAACTGAGATGTTGCGTCAGATTCGCATGAGACAGACTGGCGATACGAGACGCCTCGCTTCGGTACAGACCGGTCAGCTAAACCTCAAATATTCTTGTACAACTGAACCTCAAATAGCCACTATTGGGATCAAACATCAACCTGGGAAAAGAATCAGTCGGAGTTAACTTCAGGTACGAAAACCTTCAATCCTTCTGTTACTACTGCGGGAGAATTGGACATGGTGTAAGAGGTTGTAGCAAAAGAAAGAGGACATTCAAGGTGATGTGCTTTGTCCTGGTCAATATGGAGAATGGCTTAAAACCAGTATTTGTAGCTTTGGAGGTAATCGAGATAGAGTTCACTCTGATAGAGACTCCTTGAAGTCTAATAACCCAGATAAGACCAGTGAGAAAGAGGATTCAAATAGAACTCCAAGCCCCAGTCTACCTAAAACCCATTCTGCTATATCAAACTTAAGTCCTAAAAACTCTACCCTAAACTCCAATTTGAAGTTAAACTTAGCTGACCAAACAGACTCCATGAACATTGACGCCTTACCTTTGTCCCCACCATCTCAATCCCCAATTTTAATATCTCCTTCCCCTCAAGTTGATATTCAAATACTTCCAGATTCCACAACCTTAGCACCTTCTGCCTCCTGTGGCATTGGGTGTTTTTCTTGACAACAAAAGAAGTAAAAAACCTCTTAGACTTGTTAAGTTAGCTAGGAAAAAATCCATTGAATGTCTCTTGATTGATGTTGAGGTTAAAAACTAGTGCCCTAACCATAATTTTAATAATAAAATAACTCTATTTGAGGAAATCAATGCCCTTTTTTCTTCAAGTCCTGATTCTGAAAAATGCAAGCTTTCTCAACCTGTTTGTCTTGATAAAGTTCAAAATTCTGATATGTCCAATTTGGTGGAGGCATCCAACCACAACTGGGCCCAAAGTTTTAAGTGAAAGTCTCGGTGTGAAATTGTAAAAGTTTAGGAGGACCCTCTACAATCTCTCAGTTCAAAGAGACCTCAAGGTCTTACCTCCCAAATTGTTTCTTTCTTTCTGAAGTAAAAAGAAAAATAAAAAATTGGTCCATTCTGTTAGTAAGAAACCCAAGCTATCTGAAAGATGGTTTTTTTTATGACCCTGAAGGATATAAAGGTGGTTTACTTTTTCATTGGCCTGAAAAAGTTGTCATCCTTCAAATTTTGAGCAATCACTTTCCAATTCAAGTTTGTTTCTCTTTTGCAAATAATCCTTCAACTTATTGGGTTGTGCTCATTCATGCTAGCACAGACCCTTATTCTAGAGAAGTGTTCCCGGCGATAAACCTCCGATGCTCAAGTTAGTAGGGTATCGAAGAAAGCTAAATATGTATATTAGGGTTTTGTAATGTGTACCTACCGTCATACAAGATCTACCTATTTATATGTAATTTTCTAGCTTTCTTTGTACGCTTTATACTCCATTCGTTAGATCACCTGCCCCTTTCATGATCCTAGCACTACACATGTCCCTTACGGGTCCATTTAATAACTGTAACCCCTGATCGGTCCTCGACCCACAGATAGCTCCAAACAATTCGCGTGCCCAGCTGGGACGAGCATATTAATACCTATTTATTACTACATCTGCTCGGCCCAATTGCTTCTAGATCCACGCCACGCACCTATGCAAACTGTTATTGGGCCGAGCCCCTTCATTATTGAATTATTAACAACGAAGCTGTTGGTGGGCCGAGCATATGCGACACCACATTATTATTGCATCTGCTCGGCCAATACTGTTATTACGAGATCAACCCACACGTAACCTTCCAACCCCTAAACCAAGTCGATTTTTACCGGTCTTTTCTCTTGTGCTATATCAGCTTAAAGCAGTATTTGTAGCTTTGGAGGTAATCGAGATAGAGTTCACTCTGATAGAGACTCCTTGAAGTCTAATAACCCAGATAACACCAGTGAGAAAGAGGATTCAAATAGAACCCCAAGCCCCAGTCTACCTAAAACCCATTTTCCTATATCAAACTTAAGTCCTAAAAATTCTGCCCTAAACTCCAACTTGAAGTTAAACTTAGCTGACCAAATAGACTCCATGAACATTGACGTCTTACCTTTGTCCCCACCATCTCAATCCCCAATTTAATACCTCATTCCCCTCGAGTTGATATTCAAATACTTCTGGGTTCCACAACCTTAGCACCTTCTGCCTCCTGTGGCATTGAGTGTTTTTCTTGACAACAAAAGAAGTAAAAGACCTCTTAGACTTGCTAAGTTAGCTAGGAAAAAATCCAATGAATTTCTGTTGATTGATGTTGAGGTTAAAAACCAGTTCCCTAACCATAATTTTAATAATAAAATAACTCTATCTGGGGAAATCAATGCCCTTCGTTCTTCAAGTCTTGATTCCGAAAAATGCAAAGCTTTCTCAATCTATTTGTCTTGATAAAGGTCAAAACTCTGATATGTCCAATTTGGTGGAGGCATCCAACCACAGCTGGGCCCAAAGTTTTAAGTGAAAATCTCGGTGTGGAATTGTAAAGGTTTAGGAGGATCCTCTACAATCTCTCAGTTCAAAGAGACCTTAAGGTCTCACCTTCCAGATTGTTTCTTTCTTTCTGAAGTAAAAAGAAAAATAAAAAATTGGTCCATTCTGTTAGTAAAAAAAACCCAAGCTATCTGAAAAGTGGTTGTTTTATGATCTTGAAGGATATAAAGATGGTTTACTTTTTCATTGGCCTGAAAAAATTGTCATCCTCCAAATTTTGAACAGTCACTTTCCAATTCAAGTTTGTTTTTCCTTTGCAAATAATCCTTCAACTTATTGGGTTGTGCTCATTGATGCTAGCACAGACCCTTATTCTAGAGAAGCTCAATGGAATTTTTGCGTAAGATAATAGATAGCTAGGGAAAATTTTGGTTTCTTGAGGGAGGGGGATTTTGGTGACCTCTTGTCTAACAGTGAAAAAAAAGGAGGAATCCCTGGAAGTGAGGCTAGCTTTAAGTCCTTTAACTCCTTCATCAACTTCACGAGCATGGTGGAAGTCCCCTTTCAGGGGATACCCATTTACCTGGAATAGTTGTAGACAAGAAGGTGAATTCATTGAGGAGAGGTTAGATAGATTTTTTGTCTCCCCTATTTGGGCTCTCTCTTTTCCCTTGACTCACATAAAGCATACCCCTCTTCTGTGTTCTGACCACTGCCTAATTTTCCTTGACACCCCTGAGGCCACCATCAAATATAAAAAGAGATTTTACTTTGATTCAAGATGGGACAAGGAAGAGAGCTTCTCATCCACAATCTCTAAAGTTTGGAATGTAGGCTGTTTTGGTATGGATCTTTTTAGCATTCAAGCTAGGATTAAAAATTTCAAGATTGCTCTCCTTAAATGGAAATCTGGCTTGTCCTCTAATTTAAGAAAATCCATTGATATGTTAAATTCTAAATTGGAGGCTCTAGCATTGCAAGGATATAACAAGGATTGGGCATAATGGGACTCTGTGAAAAGAAAATTGTATTTAGCCTATGCTAAGGAGGAAAACTTTTGGGCAGAAAAATCTAGAAACAAATGGCTACAAGAGGGGGACAAAAACACGAAGTACTTCCAAGCATGTCTGAAGCAAAGAAGGAGAACTAATAGCATTGATGGAATTCTGAAAAGAGCTGGACAAATTCGTTCTTCCACTGAGGAAATACTTGAAGAAGTTCATGATCACTTTGCTGAGCTATCCAAAACCACAAATTCCTCTTTGAATTGGTGTAGTCTTAATGGCATCCCTTGCTCTATTTCATCATGAAATCAAACCTCACAAAGGCTTGTGGATATGGAGGAGCTCAAGCATGCTCTGTGGGAAATGCACCCTAATAAAGCACCTGGAATAGGTCATATGCCACCTTACTTCTTTCAATCTTCTTGGAATACTGTTTATCCTCATATGTTCCATACTGCTAAAACTTTCTTTTTGTTTGGAATATTGGTTAAAGCCACAAATGCTACAGCTTTAACCCTCATCCCTGAAAACAAAAAACCCTCAATTCATTCATGACTATAGACCTGTAAGCCTTTGCATAGTCACTTACAAGATCATCTCCAAAATAGTTGCAATAGGCTCAAGCATGTCCTCTAATTTTGCATCATCTCCAATCAAGCTGCTTTGTCCCAAACATACAAATCTTGGATAACTTTGTCAGAGCTAATGAGTGCATCCATTTACGTGAAACCTTATAGAGGCTTGAGACAGGGAGACCTCTTGTCACCGTATCTTTTAATTATCTTTTCAGAGACTCTTTCTAACCTCATTACACAGAC